AATGCTTGGGTCCCATGCCATACAAAGAAGCCCAACTGGGCAGCAGATTGGAAACTAGTTAAGCACTGAACACTTAATGGGCCAAAAGCCCATTTCAAGCTGGGCTGATATGATCACCCATCTATGGGGCAGATCTGGGATTAAAGTTAGCAAAAGGATTGGGCCTTTAACCTTATCCACTCTGGGAGACCATATTCAAATCAGATTTGAATATGGTAACCTCCTGATAAGATCAGGAGTAAGCTAACCTAATCTGCAGATAGGATTAAGATCATCCTTATCCAAATACTGATTTGGATTGGTATAACTCCTCCTTAGGAGGTTTCTTAATCAAGAAGAAAAGAGGAAAAACCCTAAGAAAAAATAATCAGAATTCGAACCTAGGGTTTGTGTGTAAGAGAACATCCTGCGAATTGAGATTGGATCTCATACACACTCTAGAGAGAAGAGAAGCGATTTCAGCCATCTTCACTTCAGGAGTTCTCCTCCAGCTGCTGCCATTCTTTCTGACAAGATTCGATCTTTGAAGAAGAAAGAAATCAAGAAATCAGTTCTTGACATCAGTTTTGTAGAAAAGACTGAAAAGATTTGGTGCTCAGAGTTTCCAGAGGGTTCTTGCGAATGACTCAGTGTGTTGGATGCACTCTGCTGGTTCCGTTCCACCTATTGCTGTGTCATCTTCAGTAGGAGCGGATCTTGGTGTCCTCTTTGGGCATGAACACCAACTTTGGGAGATACTGCTTCTCTGGATCAGGTATAACCCTCCCTTGTCTTTGGTTTAGATCTGGTTCGATTATGGTTCAAGTAGGATCCTTGAATATTGTATTCTTAAATTAGGGAATACGATTCCCAGTTGAAAGAAGGTAGGAAATTTTTTTTGAAATTCGCCCACCCATTCCGCAATCTTTATGACGTCCATACGATGAATCCTACCATCCTTTTAGGTCCAACTTCTCTGATGTAGTCGGCGGCGATCAAGAACAAGAGAGATGATTTAGTTAGTAAAGACAGTTGTGACGTTGTGGGTATATGACACTATATGGTATGGCCTTATGTGGAGAGATCAAAATATTTATGATTGGCATGAGCGATTATCAAAATATAAGCAATAAAATTTTCACTATCAAATAATGGGTATTTGTAGTTAATCGATCAAAAGCTATGAAGTTTCCTCCATTCATTCTTCCTACTTTCAAAGTAGTACAAAAAACGATATGTTGACACCACTAACATCACCAGTGATCAAAGTGTGATTGTGGAAGACACTGATATTCCTGGGAGCAACGTGATAACTGGGTTTGTTGTAGGACATGTTATGACCTCAGTTTTTTGTAGTCAAATATTGACATAGTCTATCACTGATTCAAGTTTCCTTATAAGAATTCAAATCCCTCAACCATCGACATCTGGCCAAAAGAAAATTTTTTAACCACTTGTGCTTTTGCATAGTTTATAGAGGCATCTGTAAAAGGAACAATATTTTGAATTCCATCAATCCCTGAGTGAAAAAACTCTAGTTGTTGAGAACATCAAGACACTTAGGAAAATGTTGGAAAAAAATAACACAATTCCATTTAATCTTCAATCTAAAATAGATTATTTGCTAAGCTCTTGTTATGTTTTCTAGACCCTCGTTGCATTTTATGAAAAGTTATAAAAGAAAAAAAAAACAATTAATTAATTGAACAAAATCAAGAGGGACAAAGATCAGCTCCTAAAATTAGCATAGCATTGTTCATACCACCCAAGAGATTTTGATTGAGTTCTCAAATTCTATCTTCCAACGTTTTCTTTGTTTTGGGGTCTTTCTTCCACTTGAAAGAACTTTTGATACACATCACTGCAACCTCTCCCAACATGAGAAATTCCACCAAATCCGAGCAAAGATAAATTTCATTTCAACTAAGCACTAAGCCATATTTTCCGGAGTAGTAGGGGTGCTCACGGTTTGGTTAACCAAACCATGGGGCATTTGTTGGAACCGAACTGGTACTACCAGTTTTTGGAAACCTGGTAACCAGAACCAAACTGAAGCTAGTCAGTTAACTAGTTGACTAGTTTGATTTACCATTGGTTCAGTTCATCGGTTTTTTAGTTTTTTAATTATACTATAAAATTATATATAAATATATAATAAAAAATTCTAAATATATAAAATATTATATTTTAAATAATATATAATATATTATAAATATATATAATGCATATTTATTAATTTATAATATATAACAAATCTAATATATATAATATACATAAATATATATAAATATATAGAAATATATGTATACCAGTCGGGTTGGTTAACCATCGGTTTTCTATATTGGTTAACTGGTACCTTCGATTTTTTTAAAAACACTGAACTGAAAGCAAACCGACTGATTCGATTAACTGATTTTTCGGTTCGGTTTTTAGGTTGTTTTTGCTCACCCCTACTAAGTAGTGACTCAAGATAGGATTTGGAAAGGGTATGACATTCTTGCAAATGAAGTAGGTGGTTGGTGTTTTGTAGCAGTTTTAGGTTGTGTCAGCGATGGAGAAAGGTTGTGAGCTAGTTTTTATTCTCGTATTAACTTCGGAAATGAAAGATGAATTTCTAGGTGGATCTCATAACCGCTAAGTTGTTAGTTTTTAAAAAAATAAGATGATGATTTTATAAATGAAAGAAAAAGGTAAAATAAATTTGAAAAGGATATCTTGGGCATTTAAAACTTTAAATAGTCATTGAGAATCTTTTTCAAAGAACACTAACAATTGGTTGGGGGGGGGTGGGAGTTTGTCTAACAGCTAAAGATTAAGGGGGCCTTTATCGCAAATTAAAGTATAGGGTTCTTTGTCATTGACCCCTTAATACAAGCAGTCTTTGTAATTTACCCAAAAAAAAGTCTAAATTGGCTGCAAAAATAATAAGAGCCCATGTGTAACCTTTTATAAAAAAAAACGCAAGACAGCTTACTCTGCCCACTTTATGAGGGAACACTTGCGTGTAGCTTGTCATTGGAATACGAAACTCTAAGCCTCTCTTTACAGTTTTTAGCTGTTGGCACATATACTCCAACTTGATACTATCCGAAAAACTTCTAACCAGTAAATTGACATTATAAAAGTGGTAGCCAATCAGATGTTATTTATCAAAATTTATGGGTGGATTTTGATTGGTCAAAACTCTTTTCATATCATATCTTTTCCGCATCATAGCTTTTCCCTATATATTATATATTATAGTATATTATTATATTAATAATATAATATATCATTTATATTATATCATCAAAATTTTTATTATAATTAAAATTGAATCGGATTTGAATTAAATATTCAAATTCAAATTCGAATCATACTCTCGA